CGCAGATTGCGAGTCGAGCGTCCTAACCACCTGGCCATGCCGGGCCCAATGCTCACTGATTAGCAGTTCACCGACTTGTAAAATTTGGAACTGAAATGATGTTTCTAGAATTAAATATGAATCCTTTTTTCTCATTTGCCTTTAATTTCCTTCGCGTTTTAATATAAAAGTAATAGCAGACATAACAATATAATTTTATTTTGCGTATGTTATATCTTTCAACTGTCTTCAACAGAAGAATATATATATATTTCGATGGCAGGAAATGATTTTACAGGGTGATAGAATAATTTTTATTTTAGTAAAAGGAAATTATTTTCTGGTATGACTAAAGAATGTTTATTTAAGTGAGAGGTAACAGAATAATATGTATTTAAGCTAAAAGAAATTATTTTCCGGTGTGACAAAATATTGATCATTTTAGTAAGTTTTATAACCGATAGGTGATTATTTTATGGGGTGTTTGTTTTTGAATTTCGCGCAAAGCTACACGAGGGCTATCTGCGCTACCGTCCCTAATTTAGCAGTGTAAGACTAGAGGAAAGGCAGCTAGTCATCACCACCAACTCTTGGGCTACTCCTTTACCAACGAATAGTGGGATTGACTGTCACATAATAACGCCCCCACGGCTGAAAGGGGCGAGCATGTTTGGTGGGACAGGGATTCGAACCCGCGTCCCTCAGATTGCGAGTCGAGTGCCTTAACCACCTGGCCATGCCGGGCCTTTCTGGGGTGACAAGAAACTGTTTTAATGTAACAGAATAAATTAATATTTTAGCGACAGGAAATTATTTCTGGTGTAACAAAATAATGCTTATTTTTGTGATCGAAAAAAGTATATTTTAGTGACAGGAAATTACTTTTTGACGTGGCAAAAGAATGCTTATTTTAGTGATAAGATATTACTTTAGCGTAACAGAAGAAGTTAATATTCTAGTGGCAAAAACTTATTTCGTGTGTAACAGAAAAATATTTATTTTACAAGAGGAACGATACTTTCTAGTATGACAAAGAATGTTTATTTTCAAGATAGAAGAAGTTTATTTCAGTGACAGGAAATTACTTTAATGAAAGAGAAGAAATTAATATTTTAGTGACAGGAAATTACTTTAATGCAAGAGAAGAAATTAATATTTTAGTGACAGGAAATTACTTTAATGAAAGAGAAGAAATTAATATTTTAGTGACAGGAAATTCAGAGTAAGTTAATATTTTAGTGACAGGAAATTCAGAGTAAGTTAATAGTTTAGTGACAGGAAGTTCAGAGTAAGTTAATATTTTAGTGACAAGAAATCATTTTTGGTATAACATAAAACATTTATATTTTACAACAGGAACAATACTTTCTGGTGTGACAGTAGAATGTTTATTTAACAAATATTATACACTTGATTTATAGACACTTATATATCAAGCAGCAAGCAAACAGTTCATTCGAAGGAAGTAAACTATTCATATTACGAATTAAAAATAAATACAGCATTTGTATAAATACAAACTGATGTTAAGAAATCATAACAAGTGGCATATTAATTTTACCCATTATGATCTATCAAGAAAAACTGAAGGTTGAAATGGTGAACAAAACTTGACAGCAGTGTTATTAAGACCAATATACATTTAAGCTCTGCACACACACATACAAAAGCAAAGACCTTAAACGAAAAAGTAACTTGGCTTACAAAGGTGAAAAATCTTAAGTGTGTTATCTTGAAGAGTAGTACTCTATAATATTTTGTCATTTGGAATTAATGATTATAATTCTTATGGCCTACACATTTGAACTATTTTGGAAAGACAAAGTATATTCCTTCACTATGACACCACAAATGCATACATAAAAAATTATAAGTTGATAACATATCTACTGACAAGATTCTTGATTAAGATTATTTACAAAAAGTTCATAAGTTTAAATTAATACCCAACACATTCTGTTAAATTTGAGAAAACGCGAATATATCAAAATGTACCAATATCTATATTGTTCGTTTAAACTGAAATGAATCATTCATAAGAATTAAAAATCTTGAAAACACGATTGCCTTAGGTGCAAAAAAGTAGGTTATAATATTTTATTCATTATAGATTATTTTAGATAAAAAAAAAAAACAATTGAGGTGTTAAAACGCTGAAGCAGAATATGAAAAGGATATAGACGAATAAAATAAAATGAATTTATTTCATCCACTATTTGTTAGCAATATACTTCTTATTAAAACATCGAACGTACAATCATAATTCTTATACCCCTGAATATAATGTTATCAAATACAATAATTTCAAAGTTTAGTACTTTAAAATCAGTAATTTTTTTTCGATTTAATGCAGTGACCTTTATGTTTAATATTGTATTTTTTTGGCTAAAGGATATTTCTATAGATTATGAAAAACAAATTATATTCTAAATAAATAAATCATATACAATTTTCTGTTTTGATCATTTATTAGTAAATTTAAATGTATATTTCCAGCAGACATTATTACTGCTAGAATTACGTTTATGTTTCTATTGAAGAGTTTTAGAGAAACTGGTTTGTAGTATTATTTTTTTTGTTTTTGGTAAAGAACATTAACAATTACTTTTAGCCTAATCTATTCGATAGACGATTTGAGTTTGACTCCATACAGAACTAAATGTCAACGCCGAGCGGGAGCACTGCTTCAGGTAAAGCTGGTTTGACTATAGACATATTAGCCTCTTACAGTCCAGAACTCGAACAACTGGTAACATTAGCAAAACAAGAATACAACGAAAGAATGGCAAGGTTAGCTTCACGTAAAACAAAGAAAGCAGTTAGGCTAAAAAAAAATGACACACAAACAAACACTTCAATGGAAACTAACGACACTACAGAACCACATGAAGAACACTCGGGAAAATCAATACTAGAATACAACAACACACCTACACAAACTAAACACGAAGAAGAATACAAAAACACACCTACACAAAATAAACACGAAGAAGAATACAACAACACACCTACACAAACTAAACACAAAGAAGAATACAACAACATACCTGCACAAACTAAACACGAAGAAGAATACAACAATACACCTACACAAACTAAACACGAAGAAGAATACAACAACACACTTACACAAAAAACACTTCAATGGAAACTAACGACACTACAGAACCACAAGAAGAACACTCAGGAAAATCAATACTAGAATACAACAACACACCTACACAAACTAAACACGAAGAAGAATACAACAACATACCTGCACAAACTAAACACAAAGAAGAATACAACAACATACCTGCACAAACTAAACACGAAGAAGAATACAACAACATACCT